CCCGCCCACCCCTTTCCCTTTACTCCCAGATTCCTCAGCAGCTTCACTCCCCCTGGTCGTCGCCACCCCCCGCCCACCCCTTTCCCTTTACTCCCAGAAATGAATGGTCGTAAGACCACGAAATGAGGAATTGAAATAGATAGTGAAACGCATATGTTTTTTACAAAAATTTCAGAAGATGTGAGGAAGACCTGTAGGGAAGCTAAGTGTGAACCTGGCTGTCTGTGTTTCATCCTTAAGCTGCAAACACAGACAGTATGCGGTCTGAATTGGGGTGGGGATCGTCAGTGCAGCCCGCAATCCACCATTAGGAAATTTTGATAACATGAATGCGTAGTAAGAGAAGAGCACTAGAGAGAAGGAAGATAGGAAAGAAAAGAAGGTGGAAAGTTGAAGCGATAAACTGAAGCGTTCTGGATCCGTCTATGAACCGCTCCGAACGGATAACACACGTTAGTGATGTTCTCACATCAGAATTGTTCTTATGCAAAGCCTTTCGATCTTGGACTACATACCTCCAGTTGGCATTTACTGCGAATTTAATGCATGTAAGCCAGCCTTTTTGCGAACCATTCGAACTTGTTCGTGAATACTACTTACTAATGCGCTACTTCCACCGGTTGTTAGCAGTGCGAATAAAAAGTGTCCTACTCTCGGATTTTACTTTCTCGTGTGAGGTCGCAACGGATATCCCGCACGTTGCTTATCTGACGGAAAGTCTGATTGTTCATATGCCCACAAAGTGATACATCAAGCATCCTTCGCTCCATCACTCTCTTCGTTGCATCCAGTCGCCCTTCGTAAGTGACTACGTTTCACATTCGTACGTCATTGCCTTCATTATAGTTGAACAAATGGGTACAGTAAAATCACAAATTGTTGAAAATAAGTTGTTTTCAGTTATCAGATTAAAAAATGATACCAAGAAATCCGGAAGTACTTGAAAGAAGCCCTCGTGCAGTGTTACTCGAAATTGCACTGTAATCGCTGGTATCCACCACCATTCGGGTATTTCGCAAACGTAACGATGCCAAATCACAGATTGTACCACCAATAACAACTGTTACAGCCTAAAATTTTAAAAATCAAGCGCTTTCTTAAAAATGAAACAAAAGTTGATCAAAATCAGTATTTAAAAATGAAATCGAAAACTGAATTAACATCAAAATCTTACTTTGGCAGTTCGCGAGTCATCAACAATCGGGAAAGCATTCAGTAATTCCTGAACTGACTTTGAGGTCACCTGAAAAAAGAGCTAAAAATCAAAATGCTAAATTCGAATTCCATCAAAAATCCTAGTATCGCAAGAAAAATAATTATGTTCTTAAATGCATTTTTTTTAAAAAAAAATGCCGAAATCCAGTTTCTTACAAGAGGCAAATCCAGTTTCTAATCACCCTAGGAGAAAAGATTTACAAAGCGCGACAAGCCAGCTTCTTCAGGGATACACCGAAGACGACTTTATGTATCAGAACAAAATATACTCGATGAAAATCAGCGGATCGCAATGGGACTAGTTACTTCACCGGAATTGCGAATAGCCAGTTTTAGCGAATTAAATTTTCATGAAATCTGTCAAACAAAAAAAAACACTTTTAAAAATACTGAAGTTTTTTGTGAAAAAAAAAGAAAACAATATGTACCGGAATCTGAGCCGAGAAAAAAATGCACTCGGAACACACACATACAAACACACACACGCACATAAACACACACAAGCACATAAACACACACACACACACATACACACATGCACACACATACACACATGCACACACACACGGTCTCGCCAATTTGTGTTTTGTGCAGCTGTTGCAGCAAAAAACCATAAAAACAAACCAACAAACAACCGCTTAGGTCAATATGTTCCAGATTTTTGAGTGCTGTGAGCGAGCAAACACCGTCATCGGCGAGATATGTGCAGCTTCGTGCCCGAATCGTTTGTAGTTTTGGGCAACCAGTTGCAATAGCTGATAATGTTGTATCTGTTACGGCTACCAGTGAGCTTAGATCTAACTGAAATCAAAAAGCCAAAAATGCTCTCCGTATTCAAAAGTTGCTCTCTATGAAAAACGAACCTTCACTGGGGCGGGGGGGGGCGAGGGGAGGGGTTTGGGAGGTATTCCCCGTAAACCTAAGAAATTTTT